TGAATTGACACCATTATATGAGAAATGGAATCACACCAGGGCATGATACAAGACAACCGTGCTTAGTGCAAGTACAACCTCAGAATAGGTGGAGCATTGGGGCACGCCGACTGAAGTTTTAGAGCTCTGCCTAACAAATTGGCTTAGACTGTAGGGGCTAATAATGAAATTTCCATTTAGAGCAACAGAGTGTTGCTAGACCAATCTAAATAGAGTGAGCCTCAACCTCTGATTATTGTAGTAATATTCCAACTAAGTGTACATGGGAAACCATGGCACGATTATATAAAGTTACATTAGGGGAAGTTAAGTTCAGAGGAAGTTAAGTTGGTCAGCTTATTTTTATGGTATAACCCAGAGCCGATCCTCCCTATTGTCACAGTCCTCGTCTGCACCAGTCTGTCTTTGTGTCTGCACTACACTTCCCAGAATCCTCCTCTTCTCCACACCTGTATTCACTCCCTCACTTACCAGCCTGTCCCTCGTTATCATCATCAGTGTCACCTGTTTTCACCTTGTTATGTTTGATTCATGCTTGTATTTAGTTTGCTTCTGGGGCTCGTTCTTCGTACGTTGCTTAAAACATCCGAGATCAAATGAGACATCTAAGATGATATCATCGTGCTAATCATGATCCGGCTAATTGGGTTCTTCGAACACACCTGTTGTTTATGATTAGTATCGCTGGATTGAGTTATCTGAGATAATTGCGCGTTTATGCGCTGGGTTAAAAGGGGATATGTATCGATAGTAGAAACATTGATCAGCAACGCTGCTATTGGCTGCTCACCGTGGCCAAAGAGCGCGCTCAGTTTTACTCTGCAGCAGAGCAAGAGCTATTGCTAGAAGGTTATGCTGAATTTGAAAACTTAATTACAAGTTTTCACCTAAAATGTGCAAAGCCAGGAGAGAGGGCTGGCAAAAAGTAGCAAATTAAGTTTGTAGCGACCATTTAGATGTTTTTATCACTTATTACAGTATATATTTTTTTTATTTGAATAATTTCTAAATAATTAATAACTTTGTTCATTGTATCGCAGTCACCACCCACTACTAGAACATGGGAACAAGTAAAAGTGAAGTACTACAATATTCTACATAATGGTAATTTGTACTATAGGCTACTATAGTCTCTTTTAAAAGGCACTGTTAATAAATGTTTGCTTGTTTATAAAAGCAACCAAGAAAAAGGCTGAGAAAAAAAGAAAAGAAAAACAAACAGGTGGTGTCGTGCAACCCCACATTATACCCCGGCAGAAGAGCTGGCCCTTGGGTTGAATGTGAACCGACCCATCCTGGGTTCAGCTCTTCCTCAGACACACAGCAGGGACCAGTAGCAGCAACTCCTTCATTACTGGTAAATGAACTTTAAATGATCTTACACTGTAAAATATTTTTTTGCTGCACTATAGGCCTATAATCCCAATGGCTGGTCCAGTCATATCACCTGTTAAACCTTGAGTAGGCCTAGTGATGAATTGCTTACTTGTGAAAGTGTGCATGTGTGAAACTACATGTAGCCTAATTAATGAAAAAAAATATGTTGCCATGAGTTATTGATCACATTTCCCCCAGTGTACTTCATTGTAATGAAATTGTGTTTTCCTCTTTTGTGCAGTTTTAAACACCAACACATTTATCTGTTCCTGGCTGATCCATGTGCAGTAAGTGGACTTTTCCAAACTTTACATCAAAAGGGAAGAAAGTACAACACTTTGTAATGCCCATTTCCCCACCAATGCACAGGACAGTGAAGAAACTCTCTCAGATGACTGTCTTTTGGAGAAAGTATCTTTAAATAACTTTACTTCATTTACACTTGAGTACCTATTATTTCTGAATGCAATATGTGTTGCAGGAGTCCACATCTACAGAAAGGCCTACAGAAGAGTCTGCACAAAGCAGTTATACAGAGGTGGGCAGTGTATACTTTTCCTTTTATTTTTTGTTGCATAAGGCTTGTGTTGACAGGTTTAACCCAAGCCCCCCTGCCCCTAGAAAATATTATTTATTAATAGTATTTTGGGGTGGAAAACTTGACAACTTAAAGAAAAAAAAAAACTGGCACTACAGAGTTAGAGAAAGAGTTGCTTCAAAGGAACTTCAGAGTAAGTGGTAATATATTATTTCACACACAGTACTTTTGCTGACCTTGCATAGTATCTCTTATTGCAGGCAAAATATGACTTGATCACTGGCTTTTCTTTACAAAGAACAATTTAAATAAAAAATCAAAGAACTAAGCATATTTGTCTTGTCTTTTATTAAACATTTAATGAAATGTTTTATATTTTTGCTGATGTTGGAAATATTGTGTAATATGGCACATGTAATGTCACAGGCCCTGTCAAGTGCAACCCTCAGGCTTTTCAGACACTGAAATCTTCCCTTTAGTTGGCCAAAGTTCATTTCATTGTGTGACCTTGTCCTGGCTAGAGCTGCATTGTAACTGTGTATGTAATACAGTGAGCTTGATATTGATACCATGTTCAAGTAATGTGCATAAATGTGAATCTCTGTGCTTCCACATTTGTGATACGGAACAGTCACACACCATCTAGAGATTTTAGTCTGTCAACTGCCTTTTTTTAATTTGATATAATATTACTAATCTGGAATATTAAGAATTGTAATAGTAACTTGGCTGCACATTTACATTGTGATCCCCCTTTCTGTTCACAAAATCCCCTTCATAGAGGCCTTGATGGGAACATGTGTGCAGTCTATTGACCAATCACATTAGTGAAGCCTGAGGGACATATCTGTGTCATAATCGGCATGTTCATGATTGCATGATCTTCATTAAAAATTATGATACCTGCGTTGGCTAAAAAAAATAAACCTGCTATAGCCTACAACCTTGGGTCTAAACTGGCTTGGAAATGCCACAAAAAAAAAAAAACTAAAAACTGCTTGAGCGCCAGGGTAAACTTTGTGAATGACACGACAGACAGCACTTATCAAGTTCTCCGCATCTCCAATAGTTTAAAGGAAAAGAGCCACTCGCAAATAATATCAGGACAATGCACACAATTTGTGCTGTTATTAAAGGCCGACTCCGACGAGTCGAACATTTAATGTGCGTTTCCAAAAAATAATTGATGTAAATGACATCCTCACGAGTCATGAGAAAAATTACATCTCTCAAAAAGTACACTATCGCGCTGCGTTAAAAGACTTCTCGTTTCACCTCCGCTTATAAAGGCGCGATCTAATCCTGTTTACATGAAATAAGCCTGCTCACGAGCAGGTTCAAGCTAGCGCACCTGTTGCTATGACAGCAAGTCTAGGATGAGCTTCGAAGAACCAAACGATCCAAGATCATGCCAAATCGTCAACAATCAAATCCAGCTAACTGAGTTAGCGACGTACGAAGAACGAGCCCCTGTTCAGTCTGTCCTTGTCGGTCGTTGTAAATGTTACAGTGTTTGCCCTGCCTGTATCCGTGCGAGTATTTGTGATATTGTAAGTAAAGTTTATTGAAATTGGATCTTTGACTTCAGCCTCTTCATCTGCCTGCACCACACCCGTGACACCTATACGCACACTACGCAAGTTGCGTAGGGCCCCGCAAATTGCTCCCCCTCGTGGCAAAGCCTGTCAATCAAAGTTTACAACATTGATGAGATAACTAAGCGGAACTATCCTTCTGGTCACGAAAAGAGAGACTGAGAGAAAAACGCCATGTGAGTGAATTGCGGGAACAGCGATCAGGCAGACTTGTGTTCTCTCCTCTCCAAGTTTGATGTCAGCAAAGAACAGTAAAGTTAAGTTACTGTGCATATCTCTCTATCTGTCCGTCTAACCTAGCAGCAGTGCATCTTTTGGTATTTCTGTGTCTTGCTTGCTAATGCCGGCCACTTCCAGGGCTGTGTTCTGTGCCTGACAAAAAGAAAAAGGGAGATATAAATATTAATTACGTTTGATAATACAAAGGGCAACGGTGTTTGTTTATAAACTGCAGCTCGGAATAGATAACCGCGTCGCGCGTTAACATGAGATCATATGTGCGTGCACGAAATGAAACGTGCACTTTCCAGTAAAACATCTGTGGGGACCAGTTACCAGTACAATATGGGCATGATGGCACTCCTCATTAGGCGCTCATACTTTTAATACGTTTAATACAAGACAATGATTATCGAGTCTCCAAGTCAGTTTAGTTACAACTCTGCAATAAAGCAGTAAATAATAACCATCAAGTATCAATTATTGCTTTTATCATTTAAAACACAGTGACATGCAATTGCAAGCCATTTTAGCTTTTATTAATTCACACAGGATGCATTTTTGATATCAATAATTAAATTTGTACTATGTAAAATGTGAATTATTGATATTAATATTAAATATGTCTATTTCTGATATCAGGAATTACATTTTCATTAGTACTAACTAAACGAGGGAGTATTGTAGTGGGAGAACTGGGGTAGTGGGAGAACTGGGGTGTCAGGTGTGACTGTGTGGCAATGGCAAATGGTTTACATGGCTCATGGGTCAGGTAGGAGGGCCCCTTAACAGATTTTTGCTTAGGGCCCCAGGGAGGTCAGGATCGGCTCTGGTATAACCTCTGGTTAGATATAGTCTTACCTTAATTAATTGTAATTGTGTACAGATCTATGGGCACTAAATAGCACACTATTAGAAATAAGCAAGCATGGTGTGGCATCTAAAGGTATAAGTCAATTGCCTCTGTCTAATGACCAAGACCTACGAGTTTGTAATTGTGAGATCCATATATCCGGCCAGTGCGAGACTCAAAGTGTTATAGGAATCCGAATGTGAGTGTGATTTTAATAAAGAGTTAAATAGAATAATCAAGTGTGTAGATCATTTATAAATGGTCAATAACTAATTGGCATTCTGACCTAATTTCGAGGTTGTGATAAAATGGAGTCAGATAAAAGTATAATTGGAATTAGATTACTTTGCCACACTGAAAAGACCAAGCGTGCAGGAGTGGACGGGCCCTACAAAGTAACAGTACAAACACATATTACCGTAAGTTGTGCACTGGGGTTTCACTACTTTCTGGTTCCTTCTTGTCTATTCTGCGGAAGGAGTACTGGGGAGCACACAAGCCCATATCCAGGTCACAATCCCACTGGATTTGCACTGCCATTATTCCCCCCTGAGCACAGAAACACTTAAAGATGTCAGTTTTACAGCAGTGCACCAACAAAACACACATATTCATCAACACAGAGTATCATAAGGGGATTCAAGCTTATTCATGATCAAATCAATGTCAAATAAACATAAAATAAATTTCTGACATAGACTGCCATGGTCTGAAAATCCTCTCGAGTCTCTTCAAAAATATCTTTGACTCTGAAAATTGGGCAGTTGGGGTCCATAATTCTGTTGAACACACAATTTGCTATGTAGGAGCTGCTCATGTTTGGTAGGATATTCCTTCTGCAAGAAATTAAGAAATAAGCAACACTATATTAACTCACTTTATTAAGTAAAATTGATATGTTTGATTTGCAGCACTTTTTTGCACATTTGTAGTTAAAATACAGACAAAACGGTGCTGAAATATGTGTTAGATAAAGATGATCTCTTTCATGATGAACAAAGATGAACATACTTTTTGAAGTTAAATTTGGTGAATTGAATATTATTCTTTATGTATATTGTGAAGTTCTCAGCATCTGCCAGGAGCGCTGGACTGAAATAAAGGCAAAAAACATGAATATTACGAATAACTGCTGAAACTAAGAAACAAGTTTCAACGTGTATTCTTTTAGTTTGAGATGGTGAGTGGTGGGAGTTTTACTTTGGAGGTTCGACTTTCTTCTCCAGAGGACACCAGGCCAACACTTCACATGTCTTCACTGAGTCTGAGAAATCGACACATCTACCTGTCTGAACACCTGAAACAGAGCCATGTCTTAATAGTCAGTACTGTATGGATTTAAAGTCACAAAAAGTGATATTTTGTATGCAGTGTACAGATTGGGCCATACCATTCCCTTGCGCATCTTTAAAGCCTTTGGTGCAGTTCATATCAGATGTGCAAATGGATTTCAGGGTTGGATACTAAATGAAATTAAAATCAATATCAATAATATGATACAAAAAAAAATGAATAAATGTAATACTAAGCCAAAGACAGGGAAACGTCAAATCAGTTGATTAAGTTTTAGAATAAATTAACAAACAAATCTAGAAATATAATAAGAAATAAAGCACAGTATAAAACACACTGAACCACTAAACTTATATCGTATGTAAAGGGAATTAAAGATCTAGAGATGCCAAATCAAGCAATATACAATATATCATAAGGAACATCAGTTCTGAAAATGCATTTCATGCTGGTTTATTTTACTTTTACAATAATATTGATATGATGTTATTATTAAGAATGAGTTTTGAGGTGTCGTTTTTGTTGTGTTTTTGTTCCTAAATGGAAGCTCAAAGAAGAGGAAATATTACAAAAGAGCACTTCATGTCTCACCTCTGCACATTTTGACTGTGTTTGGTTTGGTGTGAGGATCATGTTGGTCATCAGAAAGAAAGAACTGTCCTCCTGCAACATGCACACACATGTGATTGTGATCAGTGACACCTGAAATACTTCCTCATGAGTATAAGATGTCTAAAGGCATGTTGATAGAATGTAACGATCCCAGACTGCATACGTCAATAGAATGTCCAGCTATGCATTTGTTTGATGAAACAATTTTGGAATTCTGATTTGTGCTGTTAGTAGTACAGAAATTACAAACTTCACTTTTAAGGTAACTAGTGAGACATATCTTGCATTATGGTATTGTAAAAGTGAGCGCATAGCAAATCCAACCAAGAGCAGAAAGACATTTTATCCCTTAAAACTCATCTTTGATCACCAAAATGACATATTTAAACTCTTCATGCATTAAAATAGCTTGAATGTCACTCCACACCCTTGCTTGATTTAGTATATGTGGCTAGCGCAGTTGTTATACCTTGTAGACATTTTCGACAGGTTGAATTTGTTGAACACATCGATGCAAGGGAGAGATGCCAACATCTTGCGTCTTTCAGACAAAGTTAATGCATTTGTTGGCAAATTGGATCTTTGGCGTGATCGGCTGATTAATAAAAATTTACATGTTTCCCAACTTGGCTGACTGTGTACAAGAGACAGGGATAAATATCTCTCCTTTGATGAACAGTCGCTCAACATGTTGCCCAGGAAAATACCTTTCAGTTGACATGGAGGAGCAGTTAGTCGAACTAGAAGAGCGACACCTCTATAGTTCTTGCTCTCTGCCTTCGTTTTGGTTGAGTGTGATATCCTCAGTTGTCTGATCCCGGCCTAAAATTATTTCTTCCATTCGCCTTAACTTCAAAATTGACTGCCTTGAAAACTGAAATCGGCTCCAGGTGGATGACATCAGGCTTGCGCTGTCCAATATTGAACCGTGAATTGTGTTTCTTTGTAAAAAGAAGCAAGCACAGGTGTCCCACTGATTGATTATGGCATGGCTAACGAGACACGCCCTTTGTCCCAAAACGTCTCTGGTTACTCACGTAACCGTAGTTCCCTGAGAGGAGGGAACGAGACATTACGTATGGGGAAATCCATTTTCCTCGAATCATGAAGTCTGATAGAATAACTCTTTTGCTTGCAAATAGCCAATGGCGGTCCCGCCATCACCTGATTGGCTGACACTGCTCAATATAGGTGACAGCGGGCGCCAAAAACCTCAGAATCTTAGCTGAACGAGAGTAAGGAGACTGTAAGTCTTTCCCACACGGCAGGTTACGTAATGTCTCGTTCCCTCCTCTCAGGGAACTACGGTTACGTGAGTAACCAGAGACGTTCCCTTATCGAGTCGGTCTCTCGACATTACGTATGGGGAACAATAAAACCCCCGCCGCGTGGGAGAAACCCCGCCCAGCTCTCAGGAACAGACACCGGACCTGGTTGAAACATCTATTGGCACAGAGCCAACTCGGCATCTGCACCAACGATGGCCCCTCCCATCAAGCTAAGCACGCTGAACTGAATGGAGGGAGATTGCAGCAAAGTGATTGGTGCTTAGGAAAATACTGCCGGCTATGAATGCGGACATAACAAAGGGCACAATATAGTGAACATGATAGCTATGCTAATAATAACTCGCACTGTCTGACGACTAGTCGAACCGTGGCTAGAGCGCGCGCCATCGGGGCAGTCTAGCCTAGTCCAACGACAGCTCAGCTTTCTCTCCCTGCACTGACAGACATGTGGTGCGAATGAAGGGATATCCAAGTTATAGAATCTCGTGAAGGTATACAAGACGACCAACCTGCCGCGAAACAAATGTCTTGAATAGACATGCCTTTCGCCCACACCCATGATGACGCCAAACTCCTAGTGGAGTGGGCGTGCACCCCTATAGGGAAACGGCTTCCCGGGAAGCATAAGCCAGCCAGTGCACAGCCTCCACTATCCAGTGAGATAGCCTCCGTTTCGACAGCGTGCCGCCTCTTAGCACCCGCGTAGCAGACGAAGAGCTGCTCTGAAGTTCGAAACTGGCTAGTTCTGTTCACATAAGCACGCAGGGCACGCATGGGGCACAAGCGTACTTCTGAGACTCTGAACACTGACCTCATCCGGGCAAAATGCTGGAATTGCAACCACCTGGGCTCTGATGAATATACACAGTAGATAATAGCCCCATAATAGCATAGCACCTCAATAAACAACAAACACATAGCCGTAGCTACAACTGTGAGTAGACGAGTTAGCACAGAATAGCCAGTTGCACTGAAGGAAACGGGGCAACATAACAGCATAGCACATGTACGTAACAGCATCGGTCGCTTTAGCGCATCCATGCATGTACATAACGCAGCATAAGTCGCCGTAGCGACAGAACTGCGTAGAGACAGAAACTGAGATGTACAGTTCGATCAGGATGGCTAGCTGCACGGAAACGGGGCAGCATTACAGCATAACACATGGTAAATTGCACATCCGTGTACGTACATACATTCAGAAACTGTGAGTATGCACGGTAGATTAAGATAGCTAGTTTTGCACTGAAAGAAACAGAGCAACAAAATAGCAACACACGTCCTTATACGTACATAAGTGCAGTGTAGTCGCTGTAGCGACAAACTGAATATGCAGTTAGATAGGATAGCTGGTTGTTGCACTGAATGATAGAGGGCAACATAACAGCATAACACATCAGTGTGCACATTTTAAACATCTGTGTGTATAATGCAGCTCAAGTTGCTGAAGCGACCGAAACTGCATGAATATGCGTACACAATGGTCCATTACATTGAAGGGCAGCATAACGCTTCAATATCTACACAGATGCAACGCAAGTCGCCGTAGCGACGACTGAGACTATGCACAAGCATAGTTAAATTTTTGTGTACAAAAAACACAGCGTCAGAGGCATAGCGACATCGACTGTGAATACGTAGTTAATCGGAATAGCCGGCTGCACTGAGGATACAGGGCAACATATAACGGCATAAATCATAGACGCATATCAATGTACAAAACACAGCGTCTGTGGCATCGCGCAACAACTGTGACTACACAGTAAAAGAGTAGCCAGTTGCACTGAAGGGTACAGGGCAATATATAGCGGCGTAATAGTTACACATATCAGTGCGTTGTGTGTACACAGCGTCAGTTGCATCGTACAACAATTGTGAATACGTAGTGATCAGAATAGCCATTTGCACTGAAGGATAGGGCAAAATATGACGGCATAAATCATTACACATATCAGTGTGTAGTGTGCACAAACACAGCATCAGTTGCATCGCACGACAACTATGAATACGCACTGCGTAGTAATCAGGATAGCCATTTGCACTGAATGACACAGGGCAATATATAAGGCATAAAACATTACACATAACAGAGTGCGGTGTGTACGTAACACAGCGTCAGATGCATCGCGCACGAACTGTGAATACGTAGTAATCAGAATAGCCATTGCACTGAAGGATACAGGGCAATATATAATGGCATAAATCCTTACACATAACAGTGTGGTGAGTACGTAACACAGCGTCAGTTGCATCGCGCAACAACTGTGAATACACACTGTGTAGTAATCAGAATCGCCATACAGGGCAATGAATGCTGCGGCGGGGGCTGGGCGCCAGCCACCGGGAAAGCATTGACTGCTATATGAAATGGTATAGCTCGTCCGCGGCATCATGCACGGGGACATAGATAGCCATCTCCTCGGGTTTCCCCGAGCTTCCGCTCTGCCATGCGTCTCCCGGGGGAGAGGCTTCGCCTATGAGGCGGGTAATAATGTTGGGGAGAGAAGCTCTTTTGCTGAGACATGTAATGTACCTTGTTATTGAAACAGAACACAGCGGTTTCAGAAACAACACATTCTCGTCGAACTCTGGGCGGGAACACGCCCTCTTCGCACCGGTCCGACGAACACATCCCGCGCTCTTTCCTCCCTGACACGCACATCAGGAGCGCTGTTTTTTTTTTTTGCGACTTCCTGAACTGCCTCTCGCTTCAGCTTTACGGCCCGCGCCGAGGCCACCTTTCCGACGGCAGCTCCTTGGGCGCTGTCCACTCCAGCACCATATCTGCCACCGCCTCAGTGAGAATGGCCATAAGCTCCGCATCCAAAGAGGCGAGGGCGCCTTCAGACGGAGACTCGGACCATTGGCGTCGTCATCGTCGTAACCGAACGAGATAATTCCCGTGCTTCCTCAAGAGGGCCGTAAATGGCCTCAAGAGTAACTCACGGGCTCTGCCACGTGAGGATGGCGTGGACCTTGGGCCGACGTCAGCGCCTCAACAGAACCCGCGAATGGAGATCTCTGCCGTCTCCGGTCCGCGGCTCGAAGGCGGCAGACTGGGGAGAGGCAGGAGACACAAGGTCGTCGCTACGTGTAACGGCCAGCCTTGCACGAAGGATCTGATGGGAAGCTCCTCACAGGCGGGACATCCCGATCCCTCGAGTGCCGCCTCTGCGTGGTCCCGACCCAGGCACAGCACACAAGTTGTGTGCGTCCGGGGATTCAATGGGTCCACCACACGGGCGACAAAGAGACATAATATAATCCACCGGAACGCGAGAGGGGAATTAAAACTCCTTAATATACTCCGCTCTGAATGCGTACATCAACGGTGAAACAGACTCGAGTGAAGAAAAAAGATTCTAAAGTTTTTGGCGGCCGCCGTCACCTATATTGAGCAGTGTCAGCCAATCAGGTGATGGCGGGACCGCCATTGGCTATTTGCAAGCAAAAGAGTTATTCTATCAGACTTCATGATTCGAGGAAAATGGATTTCCCCATACGTAATGTCGAGAGACCGACTCGATAAGGGAACTGTTTTTACAATGCAAGACGAATCTAATGCAACATGTTTTACATGTAAAATAGTACGTTATTACAACCTAGTTCTCTTGTTCAACGTAGTTATGGTGTTTAGAAACATTTTTGATAATTCATGTTTCATACCTGTCCGTTACATAGTTTTATAAGTCACAATTTATAAAAAAAAATTCTAAAAGTTATGAAAAGTAATTTATAAAAAAAAGTACAAAAGCAAAAAAT